CTGTTGTTTATTTTCTCGTTCTTCTTGTTTCTTTTCCTCCAGCCACTGCTGTAATTTCTCTTCTTGTTTCTTTTCTTTTCCTCCAACAACTGCTGTTGTTTATTTTCTCGTTCTTCTTGTTTCTTTTCCTCCAGCCACTGCTGTAATTTCTCTTCTTGTTTCTTTTCTTTTCCTCCAACAACTGCTGTAATCTATCTTCTTGTTTATTTTCTTTTCCTCCAACAACTGCTGTAATCTCTCTTCTTGTTTATTTTCTCGTTCGTCTTGTTTCTTTTTTTTCTCCTCCAATAGCTGTTGTAATCTCTCTTCTTGTTTATTTTGTTGTTCGAGCTGCCACTGTTGCAGGTTTTCTTGCAACTGCTGTTGTCTCTCTTCTTGTTTCTTTTCCTGTTTATTTTCTCATTCTTCTTGTTTCTTTTCTTTTTCCTCCAACAACTGCTGTAATTTCTCTTCTCGTTCTTCTTGTTTCTTTTGCTGTTCTTGTATTGCTGCCATCAAATCTGCTAAGCTGTAGTTTGATTTACCGCCTCTCGTTTCCATCTTCTTCTTTCTTTTTTTTTAATTTTCTGTCCCACTCTCTGACACCAATTTGTTACGTCTCCGTTCGTTCGTTAATTAATTTTCCGTAAATCCGTTCCAACGAAACTTTAGCGACACAAGTCCTTTCTTAAATAAACTGGTTTATTCTTTCCGAATACAACTTTACCGATACAATTAATTTCAACAGTCGCTCTATAATCAAACGCTATAACTCACGTCTCACGTGGCCAACAATATTTTGTCCGCATACATTCAATTACTCATTACCACGTTACGTTGTGACCATCTTATATATATCAGATTACCTCCAATCTAGTAGTCTCTCGATAATTCACGAAGGTTCGAGAAGGACGTGGCGTGATACTAGTCACGTGACCTCGCTGACGCAACAATATTATCTGGCCCATGAGTTTATCATTTTTGAAACTTCCAAATCTTTCTTAATAAACTCAAAATTAATGTGATGAATAATAAACGTTTGGCCTACTCTTAAAACTATTTCTGTATTTGTTCGTACAGCATACTTTTCTCAAAATCGTATATTTTCTCCATTTAGTTTATTTTGGCTCTCATCACTGTCTAGTCGAACTACCCTCCCTTACTGATGAGTTTGATAGTTCGTGCAAGTAAGCCATCTCTTATTCTATTTAAATACAAGCCTATAATTTGACATGTAGAAACGTAAGAATATGCAAATGGACTAAAGGTATTTTAAGTTACCCCTTGATTATTCGAATAACCTTTTCCAATGCTTTTCTTATGATGCATTCTGTAAATAGTTCACTTTTTTGTATTATATTTGATCAGAGTTCTTCGTGAATCCAAAGTCTATATGTTGTCGTTAGTAATATTATCTTGTTAACTCGTAGCATTATGCCTTTATTAAACAGATTTCCCGTGAGAATGTATTGCACCTGTTATGTGAACTATGAACAATGCTTAATCGTTTTGAGATCACTTGGATGAATACCTTAATTTTTAAGATAGGTTCTTTTTTTTCTTTTCAAGGACGTAGGATAAGAATCTCACTTCTGGTATGTTGATCAGGAATAAGTTTTAGTAGAGTCGTTTCTATCTGTCTGGCGGGTAAGTCTTTTTCCATTGGTGTATATTGGGTGTTTCATTGTTCGAAATAAATATGTACAATTGATAATATGGTATCTTTATCAAGTGAATTGGGTTTTTCCATAATGTTTGAACAAAAATAACTATATATAAATGTATCTATTGATGTCTAACATTATACTATAACTGCAGTAAAATTCATACGGAACGTTTCTGGATTGATTAAAACCGAAAATAACTTTCACTCACAATCTAGTGTATCTACATATGGTAAAATTATATTCAATGTTAGCGTGGCACTTGTAATGTATTCAGTTATAAAGCTTACATTCTAAGTTTACACAACTGCCCAATCGTATATAAAATTCTGAACATTTTCTCCTTTCCCTACTGCTATTAAGTGGGATGAGGAGATTGCATGGCAAGTAAAGAAGTGATTTTGTGACGAGAAACTACAAGTTGTCAAAAGCGCAGATAGTAATGAGAAGGTAAATTTGTAGTTAATTTTATCCTATATTATCTATCATTATCGAAAAAAAAAAAGAGCCAGTTTGACAGAAACACGGCGATCATAATTCATCGAGATCCCTTTCATTAAATATAAATTGAAGAGTGAAAATACTTAGAAATTTTTCGTTCGATGTAGTTTAACTATTTATAAATCTAAGTTTCAAAGATATTCACTTAGCGTAGTATTGTATTTCAAATCATTCTTTTACAATATGAAGAGACGTTTCACAGATCTAGATCAATCTTAGATTTTCAATAAATGTTTGTGAATAATACCTTAAAAAAGTTTATTAATGTTGTTGTTTTTGTCGTTAATATACATATTATATTCTGTTCAACATGCATTTTTCGATATTCCCAATTCGTTTTATGGTATAAATGTTTTAATACAAATATATTTCTAGCCCTTTATTTGTATTCCCACTGGGAAGACGAGAGGGTGTCTTACAGAAAGAAGGTAGTTAACAACTAGAATTTATAAAATGAAAAAATAGGAACATTTTTAGTCCCCTTTTATTATTAAATTGTATTCTATTAAAAATATACTTTATTATCAATTCCGATAAAGTTATTCTTGTTGCTAATTGTAACTGTAACTTAGATGTAAATAACATTCAACAAAAATATTCGTTGTTAGCTTTCAAAATTAGACTAAATTTTATCTTGAAGCATTATTTTGCACGAAAGACACTGTCTGGATTTAAAAAAGTTTCACATACTCATATTGTGATAACGATTTTTTGTGATTTATTTCATTTAATATTATTCAGTAATGGTTCCTCTGAGCGTGTACAGTAATTTTCCAATTTACATCATAAATGTTCAAAGTATCACTTTCTGGAAAAACAAGTAATTTATATTGTTCTCTATCAATTATTCATTTGTTATCTTTCAAAGTCAGTCAGGGTTTGGAAAAAATCTTGAAAGACCTTTCCTTGAAGGCATATGTTATTTGGCTGATATAACTTATATTATAACATATTTGACATTAAAATATTAAAACAATATAAATTTATTTGGAAATCGTAAGGTTTTTTGTTTCACGACTTTGTTTATATTTGGTTTTCAGAGAGCTGCATCAAACCGGGAGAAAATGCAATATTATCTTTTTCTCTTTGCTGCTCTTCTTTTCGCCGAAATTGCATGGGGCTTTCATTATGGTAAGTACAAGAACACTGACAAATTCACGAAACTGGGAGGTATTAAAAAGAACTATACACTTTTATGTCATGGTAGTACCGACTGCTGAATGATTCTTAAGCTCTTTGAGCTAATAATTTGGAGAACAATAATAAAAATACGATATTTAACAAAGTAGCACCTTTATTGGACTAATAGTTTCATCAGCGTCTGGATAATTATAAAAAATAATTGTGTTCTGAGGTTAGGTCATAAAAGTTTTATAACTGTCATAGAAACAATGCTTAAGTTTTCTCACGATTGTATAGAATGAACTTTTAATTCTAGAGCAACTGACAATTGATAAAAAGAATTAAATATGCTATCAAAAAAAACAACAACAAATGATTGAGCTCCTATAAGTTTTCCCTCAAATATTGTTGGTTAATGTTTAAAAGAAAACCTGGGATACAAAACAAAATATTTTGTGGTAAATATTTTTCAATTAATTTTTTTAAATTAGTAGGACGCTCCTCAGTAGCTCAGAGGCAAATATGAAAGTTTATAATGCTGGAATCCGGGTTTCGATACTCGTGATGGGCACAGCACAGATATCCCGTGAAGTAGCTTTGTGCTTAATAACAAACAAAGAAACGAACAAAATAAGTAAGATATGGCAGCAGTGTTTCAAATTATATCGTTATTCTATATTGTGAATTGATGAATCATACTCGACTTTCTTCTTCATTTTTCAAATGATCGTATAACATGTATTTCTAAGATTCAATATATTTATTATTAATTTTCACTTCCGGTCAAGGCAAATTACCTACTTAAATGAAATCAAAATTAAAATCAACCTGGTAATAAGTATAGCTAATTACATATATTATGTTCTAATTTATCAAAATTATAGTAAATTATTTCATCAACTGTGTACTTTCGTTGTTAAGTATATTTCAATTTCTATGATCTCAAATGTTTGAATAAATTTTTAGAATCTTTAAAAATCTTTGAGTTGAGCATCCAATCTTAAGTCCATATATATTCTGAAAGTTTTAAATTTCTTTGTTTTGACCACAGCTCTGTTATATTGTTTCTTTGTTTTAGAATTTTTGCTTAAAGCTATACTAGGGTTATCTGGATATTGCCATTCTTAGTTTGGATAGAACAGACTAGAGATAGTCAATAGCATCTACCGCCAGCCTTGGCCTACTATTGTTCTGACGGCCTAGTTAGGATTTTACCATTATTCTTATAGCGCATCTACTACCCCAAAAAGCGGAGAGTGTTTTTATGAGAACAGAATGCGAGCTATTAATTCCCGGATTCACAGCCTGGGTACACTAGACCACGATCAGCCCTTTGGCTATATGACTTATAATGTTTTAGTCTAATAATTTATTGATTATTATTTAAACTGCTACTGAAACAAACAAACAAAAAGGAGTTCAGGAAATAAAGGAAAAACAGAATTTGATGTTAAAACTATAAATGATTTGATAGATAAAATTTGGCACCTTATTACAAACAAAATTTTTTTTTTTGAAGTTTCAACTGTTCGCTATTTAATCATTGTTTTGTGAAAACGGCCTTTGGTTTTGGAAATGTATTTATTTATTCGTTTTGAACCTTTCAAATTATTCCTTACTTTTGTGTTGTCCAATTTAGTTAGTTAATTTTGTGTGGATTTTTCTACGATCTTGTGGGTAAATGGGTGAGAACTACAGAATCCTAGATCTACTATCTGGCACGTTAGCCACAGGACCAGGCGCGGCCTCAAGTTAGTTTTTAATAATTGTTCCATATCCAAAACGTTTCTACTTTTGATTACTTCTTTTTCACCGTTTAGAACTTGTCTCTCATATCGTTGCTGAATATCACAAAAATATTCATATTAATGGATCAGCATTAAGTTTACGGGCTTACAACGCTAGAATCCAAGATTCAATTCCCGCAGTGGACAGAGTGCAGATAGTTCATTGTATATCTTTGCATGATGAAAACTACAGCAGTTGTATTTCAGAAACTCTTCTCTACATTTATCATTGATCGCAATTTAAGGACTGCTTGTCAGATGAATTTCTGATCGACTAGGATTGTAGAGAACACTATGTACTATACAGTAATAAACTAGTAAACTCAACATTATTAAACGTTTATTTAGGCTTCATCTCACATAAATGTTTACCATAACGGACGGTAACTGTTTGGAGCGTTAAAGAAATTTTCTGAAGCAGCGGAAACTAAGCCTAAACAGGATTCTGACACGTGACTATTTACTAAGCTTTCACGTCTAGGATTCTTAGGTATCACTTTTAAGGAAGAAATATGGATAGACGTTTGAGTTCTGTCAATTGGCTTAAATAATCCAGAATTTAAGTGTTTTGAATATATACTGTTCTGTAGATCTAGAAAGTGTTTGAGAAAAGTGAAACTGAGACCGTGTGAGATTATACTCTGTAAATCGGCTTATGAGGCAGTTACTTTAACCAAATATACTACCGTGACTTATGTTCAACATCTTACTTTCAGTTAACATTTCATAAGAAATGAATATGTCAAACTATGCTGAGTTAAGATGGCTTCAGATGAATAACGACAAGACTATTCCTAAACCTTAATTCTATTTATATTCAGCTTGACTAACGTTATTGAAAGAGCTAGATTTAATCAGATATGCACACTCGCTCAATTAACACACACTTAACTATAAGGATATTGTACTTGTGTGTATAGGCTAGCGTTTTTTTTTCTTTTCTTTTTTAAGTGGATAACCATGTAATGGTAACTCCAATTTATTTTGTTATTTTTATTTTGCGCAACAATAGTTATATTTTCTGCTTCACATATAGGGAATATTGTCCTGTGTATATCAAGCCATAAGTATAGCAACTGGGTTTGTGTGTTGTTAAGCGCAAAATTACCCAATGAGTTATCTCTGCTCTGCCCACCGTGGTTATCGAAACCCAATTTTTAACGTGAAAAAACCTTGGATTTGCCACTAACCCATTAGGGGGCTAGTAGTTGGGAGGGAAGACCTTATTTAAACGATCCCGAACTATATAACAAATTCTAAGCGAAACTCTTTCAATTTTAAAACCTTCTTAATTTTAACTATCTCTTCATATGATATTTACTATTTTATTGGCTTAAGCAAAAGTTTAATTTAAATGGCTTGATTTTAACAGAGATTGAAACAAAGATGCTAAATTGGTATTCATTCCAGGTAGACTTATGATGTACATTTACTTCAAACTAACATTGCTCATTATGTACTGCCCCACAATGGCACAGCGCTATGTCTTCGGACTTACAACGCTAGAAACCGGGTTTCGATACCCGTGGTGGGCAGAGCACAGATAGCCCATTGTGTAGCTTTGTGCATAATTTCAAACAAACAAATCATTATCTGCTAATATAACGAGTATGGCAAATTTAAATCATGATCATATTAAATGTGAATTTAATGTTAGGGTATTTTCCATTGAAATATTTCAAAATATTACCCCCCGCTTCGTGGGTCAATGGTAAGCTTGAGAACTAGACTTACATGCTAAAAATCGGGTTTTGATACCCTTGGTGGACACAGCACAGGTAACCCAGTGTGTTGTTTTGCGCTTAAATACAAAATATACAGCAAAGTTACTAACATGCTCTTACGACTAGAAATGGCAAATATATCGTCAAGGTAACGGTTATAATTTAATGGCTTAAATTCTCTAGTCACTGCTTCTTATGATAACTTAAAAATAGACTGACAACGGCAGGATCTGGTCTAATTTTATATAAATCTTGGTTATAAATGTTTCCCTTAAAGATAAAATGAGATTCTGTATTCACAAAAAAACTTCAATGTGGAAAATAAGTTTAGAAATTTCATGTCTAACATAAGAAGAAAGACTAAAGAATCGTGCCAATTCCATCTTTAATGATCAATGAAATGAAAACTGAACACCAGGATACTTGAACTGGCTAAACATTCTGTTTGGTAAGAACAGTCAAAGGTTCGAACCCTGACTAGCCTCAGGCTTCACATTTAATGAAAAATGTTAAACTTGTACAGTGGTGTACTACTCTTAACATTTCCACAGTTTTAAGGAGTTATGTGGGTCAGAGTACTCCCACTTCAAATATATACGGCTTGAAAAACTGACGTTCCTACAACATATTTTCTTTTCCAACATATTTTTAAAGGTGTTTTTGGTGTAATAGTACATGTTTTAAGATTAAGTGCAGAATCCCAGTAAAACTCATGCCTACCAGACTGATTCGTAGCTCAATTATAATAAAACGGATAAAATTGCAAAGAAACTTTATCAGTAGAAAACATTAAAAATATATAAACATAAGTAAAAGTACACAAGTAATGCTAGTCAGTTAATTTGCATTGTAATACGTGGAGAAAAAAAACTAAACTCTTTTCTCAAGAATTTTTACAATGCTCTAATGTAATAATTTATGTTAATTAATATAAAAGTGATTTAAAAAATTTAAATTTAGACTTGAACCAAGTACTAAAAAACAATACAATTAAAGTCACTTTTCTGTAAGATAAGGCGCTGGTTGGGCCCTATAGTAGAGCTCTAAAGTTCATAGGATACCACAAAGAATTCCAGGAACTTTAAGTGCGTTATAAAATTAACAGTTAATCCCTTTGCGTGGAGGGTAGGTTGCAGGGTGCTGCTGACTGGCTGCCTTCTCTTTATAGTACAAAATTAGAGAGGGCGGTAGGTAAAGTTCGTATCTTTACCATAAATAAAAATTCAAATACTCTTAGCTAAATATCTTTTTCCATGTTTTTGCATTATTTTTCGTTTCAATCAAGTGCATCATATTTCTTATCGGTTATTAACTTTAATTTTCTCTTTAGACTGCAAATAAAATTAATTTTCTTTTCCATGAATGACAATGAAACCTTCCACAAAAATGGTTTGATTCCGTCTGCAATTTTAATAGTTTTTTAACAGTCATATATATTTAAACTTGTTAAGTCATTAACATTACTATAGTTATCAAGCTATCAATTTGGGCAAACCTGTTATTTATAACGCATGGCCAGGTGGTTAGGGCGCTCGACTCCCAATCTGAGGGTCGCGGGTTCAAATCCCCGTCGCATCAAACATGCTCGCCCTTTCAGCCGTGTGGGCGTTATAATGTGCGGTAAATCCCACTACTCGTTGGTAA